TTTGTTTGAAAGTTATAAGTCACTGATAGCATTGCATCACTTGTAACAAAATCTAACAACTATCGAACGGCTGTTTTTAACTTGACAAAGCTTATTAAAGTTTTTTTCCTTGGTTTATTTTTCTGTCAGTAAATAAAGACAAAGCTCCCATATCACGTGACGTGCGAGAAGGATTGTATTCTAGTTTTGCTTACGTTATGTCAAAGGTGAGTACTTCTGATAAACGTTTATAAAACTGCGTATTTGAAGTTTTAAGTTGCTTAAAACGTCTTATCATAATGAAAATAACAATAACGCACACATATCAGGCGAATAAAACAATAAGATTAAGATAATGGCATATAATTATACAAAGAAAAGGAATTTAAACCAGTAAATGGCGAGATACTTAACTAATGATGAAACATTCATGTCAAAAAGTTATAAACATTATTATCATTACAGATAACATGTGGCATGCCTCCAGAGGTTATAGTATGTCTTGCCTATATCGTTCCCGTTTACTCCATAGCTGGCTTCGAATCTGATTCCAGAGTTAATGTCTTTGGCATATACATTGGCTATATGCTCTTATACTTATTAGCCATACGTATGCTCTCCTTGGCTCTTGGGTGGTTATTTTCCTCGCACCACCTAGCGGCAGGATGTGCTGGCTTCATTCTGACTTTAAGTGCAACCACGGCTGGATACACCGTCCACTTCACTGACTTATCAACTGTGTTCTCCTGGTTCCAGTGGGTGTCGCCTATGCGATGGATGATGGAACAAGTTGTGGTTTGGGAATTCTTTGGAAAGAACGATGCTGATGAAGATGAGACTAAGTACTTATGTAATCGCAATCCCGTGGTGCAACAAAAAAATAATCTACTTGTGAAGGCTGGATGTGGAATATTAAATGATGCCCATGCACTACGTTTACATGATTACCATGCCACGTGGCCGCAGTACCAACCAATAGTTATTACCCTTGCCTTTTACTTGTTTTGGTTCCTGGTTGGGTTATTCGCCTTAATTTTCATTCATCAACAACCAAACCGATCCAATAGATCTTCAGTCAGCTAATGTTGTCTCACGATATTCATCAAGCTGGTCATGTGTGTCTCCTTGTCTATTAAAATGAACATGGAAAGAACTTGGAACTCGATACTTCCTTATCAAAGAACGTCTTTTTCTGTTTACAAAGGTGTTTTTATTGGCCACATGCAACTCTCGAAACAAAGAACTTCTCTTTTCTGTTTACAAAGGTGTTTTTATTGGCCACATGCAACTCTCGAAACAAAGAACTTCTCTTTCTGTTTACAAAGGTGTTTTTATTGGCCACATGCAACTCTCGAAACAAAGAACTTCTCTTTCTGTTTACAAAGGTGTTTTTATTGGCCACATGCAACTCTCGAAACAAAGAACTTCTCTTTCTGTTTACAAAGGTGTTTTTATTGGCCACATGCAACTCTCGAAACAAAGAACGTCTTTTTCTGTTTACAAAGGTGTTTTTATTGGCCACTTGCAACTCTCGAAACAAAGAACGTCTTTTTCTGTTTACAAAGGTGTTTTTATTGGCCACTTGCAACTCTCGAAAGGAAAACGAATTACATATTTCTTTATTACGAGTTTGTACCAAATAGAACAAATTGAGCATATTCAAATTATATTCCTTCTACTGTACAAAAATAACTTTTAACATCATGCCAGAAATTGATAATTGTTTATGAATATCGTAAGTGTTCATTAAAAGATTAGCGAAACGCTAAAACTGAAATATCTGGCATTTTGAACACTCATTTAGCGCGTTTTAATGGCTGTTTAATAAACTTCGTATACGAGACATTGTACCAAAAGACCTTCGAATTTCCCAATGAATTTTATGTGACGATTGTATGTTTGCGTCAACAACTTAATATGGCACTCCATCTTGTTATTATCTATAAGTAGGTATAATCTGTTTCCTCTGTTCTAATAATATTACAAAACTAGGTTCGGTTGTTCCATCGGGATTCTGTTGGTGAGAGCGAAAACCTTAATTCAGCTTTTTATAATTTTGCATGACATTTTTTGAAATTTAACCTATTCACTTTAAAATAAAACAATATTGCAGATCAAACCAACTGTGTACAATTTGCACTGCTGGAATTTATATATATGTTGCTATTAAAGTTGACAAGAGTTCTTTCAGTAAGATTGCTTGTGTAATAGTGATCAGATGTAATTTGTATTATTTTAAATTATATATATATACTGCCAACATTTATGAATAAAGATTTTATTGTATTATCATTTCAAGTTAAATCATTTGCTGTTACAAGATTTGTCTTTCCATACAACGCAAATAACGTTCATCATCATTTAAAAAAATATCGTGCGTAAGCAACACAGATGTTATCACACCTCCTGCCTTTTACAGGGACATTCATGTCTTCTTACGTGTTCAGATTTGCACAGTTCTCAATGTAATCACTTGAGTTTGGCGGCTGTCCTCCTATGAACTTTAGTTGAACTATCATGACAAAAGAAAGCGATATTTCAGTTATGGTATGGGCGCCATTTTGGCAACAGGACTATTACAGCAGGTGGTTCTCGATGTATCACAATTTTCTAAGAAGATCTTTTTACCTGTCAAATTTAATAACTTACTTAACAGACAAAGTGGCGTTTCATGTGTCAGATTCTTATATATGGACGGGCAGAATTATTTACTGTAAATGTATCCAGAACTTTAAATAATTGTCTCTTTTCGTCAAATGTCCACAAAGGTTTATTAAATTACTTTAGAACACAATTGAGAAGTCGAATTATCATTCACTACCCTGTTATTGGAATACAAACTGTGATAATTCACTTTAGAAATCGCCACTATAAACTCGCAATCACACACTCTAGGTGTACCTATTTAACTATATCTATCTTACTGTGTCTTACTTTAACTACATTTTGTATTCATATTTATAGATAGCCCAACTGAGGCCTAGAACTTTCCACACACTCCGAGAAATACTTAGAAGGTTCTAGTAACATGACGCAATAATACAACAATCGCCAATTTACGAAAGTTGAAATAAACAACGTATGATTCGCTCAGTTACGTAAACAAACCTGCGATAAACTATCGCTTCTAAAAATAACTCAATTTAACACTCGCTCTGTACTTAAATAAAAACATTCGTGTATATCTAACGCCACACAAGATGGGACTACTGCTCATGCAGCTCGAGTCACTAAACGGTGACCAGAAGGTTAGGTCATTACACCTTTCTTGTGTCCACACTAATCACTGGATGTGAACCCTATCGAGTATGTGTGGTCCATCTTTGGTCGTCCCCATCTAGGGACACGCACATTCATATTGTTCGCCAGGAATGGGGTGTATTCCTATAGATTTATATTTTAATCTTATATAACTACCATGTGTAATTGTGTTCCTCTCTCAGATATAGGAAAGGACAGATCCACTAAATACTAAATGTCATCTTTTGTTTTAGTTTTTAGGCCCGGCATGGCCGGGTGGTTAGGGTGCTCGACTCGCAATCTGAGGGTCGCGGGTTCGAATCCCCGTTACACCCTTTCAGCCGTGGGGGCGTTATAATGTGACGGTCAATCCCACTATTCGTTGGTAAAAGAGTCGCCCAAGAGTTGGCGGTGGGTGGTCGGGAACAAGTAACTTCCAGCACTCTGGTGGTTCATCAGTAGGCCTGAGGATGTACAATGCAAGAAACAGTGTTTCGATTGTCGCGTTGGGCACAGGACAGATAGCCTATTGTGTAGCTTTGTCTTTAATAACAAAGAAGTTCGTTTGTTTTGAATTTCGCGCAAAGCTACACGAGGGCTATCTGCGCTAGCCGTCCCTAATTTAGCAGTGTAAGACTAGAGAGAAGGCAGCTAGTCATCACCACCCATCGCCAGTAGTCCTCGTTTAGTATTGCGCGAAATTCAAAAGAAAAACAAACAATGCATTGTTTATACATTTGTTTGCTATTAGATATATTAAAATTCTTGTTTATCAACAGATAATGATTTCGAAGAAAAACCAGTTAACATCTTCAAACGTTTTATTATCCGTGGTATTAGTAGTTTTCAATCTCCAGTCACTGTTCAAGGTATTATTCTGTGAATCTGAAGGATCTTGGAAATTATGTTTTCAAAACTGTCAATAGAGGACGCTAGTACTAAAGCAAGATCATAACGAATCTCGTTAATTTGAACAGGTAGAAAATATAAAAACTCAGTGATTACAAATTTCTTATTCTAACACATGGCCTTCTGTAAATTACCACAGTAGCAAACATTACAACTTAGGTCCATTACAATATCTTCATATTAATAAAATGTTTACAGAAAAACATACAAGGATCCTTTTTCTTAGTTATGAAAGACTGGTACATAGAAAACAAACATTATTAATGTATACAGAATAGACTCTAAAGCTTGTTTTAACAACATTGATTATCAAGATATCTAAATACTTCTGTCCTGAACGTCAAGGCAAATCAACAACTGTATTTACAAGAAGAACATTTAGTTAGCACGTTGTTTCATTCTACACGTGCGCATAAACAATAAATCGAATTTATCCCACATTAATATTTTAATGCACTAGTCAAAAAAGCGCCATATGTATTATCTTTAAACAATAGTAAAGGACTAGTTTCTTGAATGTATTGTTTTTTCTAAAATCAAAAGAGATCATTCTAGAATTTCACACAAATATTTCGTGGTCTGAATCCGAATGAGAACCATGCAGATAAATTCCGGAGTCATACGACGGGGATTCATCATTACGACAATATAAATTTCCGTAAGATCTGGCGCGTCGTCTATTATACTGTGGTAGCATCTGGTCGGGACAGCAACGAGAGCAATCATTGCTATTCTTGGATAGATGGCGCTCAGAAGTGTCTCCCATACTTTTACCACGAGGTCTAAGCGGGCGAAATCGAATTTTTTTCAATACGCCGTGACTAGAGCATGAAGATAAAGTAGAGGATGGTGATGTTGTTGATGTTTGGTTATCGCCATCAGACAATGAATCTAAACTTTGATTACAGTCGACTTCTTCGTTATCGCTGATTTCTTCTTCTTCTGCTTCTTGCTGCCGATCTCTTAACTCGGCAATTGTGTCGTACAATGCCAACAGTTTCCGAAAGAGGTCGTTATCTTGATCGATCAAAGTTCCCTATAAAATAAACAATTGTAATGTTAAAAAAAATGGAATTTCAGATATTTAGTATTTTAAATCGGAATTTGTAGGATGATGAAGAACAAATACCAAACAACAAAAAATTACATAAATATCTCAAATTTACGTGTAAAATGAAGCACAATTACAACTTATATATTATATTATTATAATTATATTATATTATTACTAAAAAGGGCAAAAAATTATATGAACCATGATTTTAAAACATTGTAAAGAAAATCTGAACCATTTCAAAGGCAAAATAATATAAAGTGCACAAAATATCGTAGAAATATGTTGTTTATACTAAATACAATTATCATTAGGACAGAATTATTTAGGCTTTCTCACAGGGTAAGTCCTTCAATGGGTCAGTTTACAGACTTACAACACTAAAACCCTGGGTTCGATTCCCTGTGGTGGACACAGTGGATAGCCCAATGTGGCTTTGCTCTAAGTCAAAGAACAACATGATTATACTCTAAATCAAACAATAACAAGAGGATAAACTGCTTGTGTAAATTTATGATAAGGTTGTCAACAGATACGCAGTGATAGATGTGTGCGTTTGTATTTTTGCATAAGTAAACGTTTTAATCAAAAGACAAAGTTCAGAAGATAGAGTAATGTAGATATTTTGAGCAATGAAAAGGATCAACTTATATATAAAACTCGAATCACGAATCTATAAGGAATTGAAATTGTCACACAGCAAGGTTAACAAGTTTAAACTGTAATGTGTCTATTATTTTTAACTTTATTGGGTACGTAAAGTATAGTTAGGTTGGAGACCGACAGGTGCCTTCCTGTTTGTTGTTTAGTTATTTGTTTCTTTAATTATGCACAAAGCTACACAACGGCTATCTGTGCTCTGCCCACCACTGGTATCGAAACCCGGTTTCTAGTATTGTAAGTCCGCAGACATACCGCTGTGCCACTGGGGGACATTGTTGTTTATTTATCTAAATGATAGTGTTTGAGAATACAGTTACGTTGGATAAAAAATATCATAGACCAAACTATAAAAAAAACTGTTTTTTAGATTATCTGTAAGTCACAAAAACGTATTTACAGTATTATTTATCTATTTCACAAATAAATCGTTTTTGATAACTCTCCTTCACACTTAAAGTTAAGCCTAACTGGAAATTTTCGTGAATTAAAAAGAAATGGCTAAGACCTAAATTTTTCTTCTTTATTTTTGGTATATTTTGTTTAATAAATCAATTTTAGTTGTGATAAATTAGAAATCCAATTATTATAATGTTTGTTTTTTTGTATAATTTAATTCCACGGTGTCTTGGATATGAGAGCTCAAACTAAAGCACAAATAAAAGTAGTCATTTCAGTTCATCAAATTTTGCTAAATGACTTATGGTAGTCGTCTTTTGAGAAAAACAATTTGTAGATTCAAAATTTAAGTTTAAATCAGCAGAATGTTATATAAATTAAGTAAACTATTATTGCTCCAACACATGGAAACAAGTCTGGAATAAAATATTTGGTCTGTTTTGTTTGATTTAGCACAAAGCTACACAATATGTTATCGATCCTCGGATTTTAGCTCAACTTTGAAACAGTTCATGTGGAGTTTGGAAAGTCAGAACTTAAATTTATTATGATCTAATTTCAATTAGAATGGTTGAGCACCAGGTTTTTAAAATCCAAAGCTCGCAAAAGTATTTAGCAGCTTATAGTGAATCACGTTACCATTCTATTAGTTATAGGACTTATATAGGCCTATGTTTGACTAGAATAGGGCGTCACCAAATTAAACTGTTTACAAATGTGTTCCACATATAATATATTATAATTTAAATTCCTAACGATGATAAAGAGAAGCGAGAAATCAACAGAATAACAGCTATAAAGAACTTACTGTGAATTATTTTAACCAAAAACGATGTTTGGTCATATAACATTAAACATTATGTATACTTTTTACTGAAAAATGTGGTGTCATTCTGCCCCCCCCCCAGTGGCACAGCGGTACATCTGCGGACTTACAACGCTCGAAACCGGGTTTCGATACCCGTGGTGGGCAGAGCACAGATAGCCCTTTGTTTAGCTTTGT